GCGACAACGAGGCATCTCCAAAAAGTGATAAAAAATGGAGGGGGTCTTTCCCACGAAGATCCCCAAGGAGGCTTCCCGAGGATTGGTCGCTGAATGGCAACTAGAAAATACCTCCCGTTATCGGAAAACCAAAAGAGATAGAAGGGTGAAGAGAGGGAAGATACTGGACTCACCAGAATGTAAAAAGAAGTTTTTTCTGGAAAACTTGAATCGACCTTTTCCAGAATGTTCAGAAGCAAGGATGGGTCTGCTGGCTTTAAGACTCCGGTGAAATGGTTGGGCAGTTGACAACGGAAGGAAAGGGATCTCCGGCGAAGTTTCAGCAAGGGCTCTCTAGAGAAATTCAGAATGACGAAATGAGAAAGAAGAGAGAGAGCCCATTTATATATAGTACCTATCCCATCATTGGGCGCGAAACACGAAAAGGCGCATTTAATGCGCACGATGTCCTAAGCAGGGGAAAGTAGCTAGAGGCAATGATGAAGCGGTTGAGGTTGTTGTAGAACCATTCGTCTCCTTACGACGCGTGTCCTCGGTGTCAGAAGATCGAAGGCTAGGGGGCAGTTGATGGGACATTTCCAAAATACTCCAAGATGAAGACATGTGTCTTCGGTGTCACTAAATTCTTGTTACTGTGATCACGACACGTACCCATCGGTTCACAAGTCCCTCTCCCCTGAGGTACTGATCGTAGGGATCAATGGCATATAGTACATTACGTACCGACACGTATCCCTCGGTCGGGGGATATGGTACATCGGTCCCTATATATACCGATGCTCTCGGCTTCGAGATTTACCTCCTTCTCGGTTCTGAGGTGTACCGTCCAGGATGACATTCTCTGCTCCCGTAGAGGCTACTGATGTACAAGTCACTAGCCTATGCTAGGCTAGGTTAGCCATCATGACCTCGTCTTACACAATTAGTGTCAAAAGGCTCAAGAAGGCAGAGGACACAGCCAATGGGGAATGGACGCGTGACATATTGTGTCACATCAGAGACAGAAAGACCGGATGCCCTTGCTAACATACGACTTGGGAAAGCAAGCATTTAATTACACCATTTCCTTGATGAGACAACATTTAATGCGGTAAGGCTCGAAAGTGAAGGTAATAAATGTCTGTAAGGCTGGACATTTATTACATCTTTACTGAGAGGAGCTCATTGAACAGTCGGCAGGCTGATGACACAGCCTTGGTTGCTCGGGATCCCGAGCAGTTAAAAGAGAAGACATTCCTCGTAGGAATCAGTGCGCACGTTGCTTGTATCTAATGATCACCTACTGACCACACTGACAGCAATCATGAGTATTTGAGGTATAAATACTCCTCACGAAAGGAAAGATGAGAAAACAAGGTGAAACCTTTGCTACAAATTATATTCAGTGCTTTCTTCTTCCCCTCTCTCAAAAACTGACTTGATCGTCGGAGGGGATACGCCGAAAAATACTCCGGCGCCCTTCTAACTTGTCTTTCTTTGTTCCAGGGACCTTCCTCAGTCTTACTGGATCGTTCCGTTGATCCACGAGGGTCTCTCATTACCGTTCCAGGTTACCACCGGACCTCACAGGCTGTTCCAAGCAGCAGGGTTGACCACTAGAATGACTCACTCGAGTTCATCAAGGGAGAGATTTGTTCTCGTGTTTATATTGTGCAAGATCCAGCATGCACAGATATATAATGATCAAAACACAGGATCGAGGCAGTATCTAGTAATGGTGTGGGAAATATGTTGACTTGCTTGTTTAATTTTGGTTGGATGCTATGGTGATGCCTTTTTAAGGTAGTCAACCACAGTATGAGATCAATTCCTCTTCTGTCTTGCTATTTTGTGCTTAATTTTGATGCTATAATGGGTGTGCCTTTGTTATTTTTTGTTCTACTCAACTATCTAGATATTTAAGCTAACAATTTCCCAAGTGTGGTTCTTGGTTCTCCAGTTTCTCGCATTGAAGCACAGAGTGAGGAGGATGACATGTACATGCAGCTAGATGTGAACTCGGATTTATATCCTATGCATATAGGGGAAAAATATAGAATGGTTTTAGCTCAAACTCTGAATTTGGATGGATCAGCTGTTACTAGTTATTTCCCTGAGGTAATCTAATTCTAGTTGCTTTTGTTGGTTTATTTGTTCTAATCCCATCCCCTTCCCCCCGGCGCACCCGTGCGCATATGGGGTAGGGATGGAAAGGGAAACAGGGAGATAAAATTATTTATTTGTCTGGTTTTTTGGGACTCTCCTTCTCCTTCTGAGATGGGAGTAGGGAGGCTACATTTAATTCAAAATAACTTGGACCTATTTCTTAGAGTAGAAGTATTAGTTATTTACACTTCATTTTCTAGTCTAGGCACTGGATTCTACAGCGTTATCAACTTCTAACCATAGAATGACTAAGCCTTATTGATTCTTGTAGTGATGTGGTGCTAATATATTATTTTTTCAATCATTTTTTTCATTTTTTTTCGCTTATTATTTTTCATAACACAAGCAAACATATGATCTCTTGTTGCCCTTAGTACATAGGAGTCAGGATTATCTTTCCAAGAAGCAAGGTATTCATGAAATATCTTGTCGAAGAAGCGACGTCTTTGCAACATAATAAAAATTAGCTTGTTTTGTACTAGAACGAAATTTAAAAATTAGCTTGTTGCATTAATGAGGTGCTAGATATTGTGAATTGAATTTGGAACGTTTCATTACTCTATTTTTGCCATAAATCAAAAGTATTCCTAGTTAGGAAGCATAGATATTGATATGCAATAGGGGTGTGTTACGACGTGGACTCAGTGATACGACAAACCCTAAAAAAATAGTATATGAATATGGTCATTATACGCCTACAATAATTATTTTTTTATATTTATACTATGATGCAAGTATTTTTAATTTTCAGTAACTTTGTTAATAGCATAGATCATTTCATCATAGTAGATTTACAAAGTGAACATGTCTAATTTAAGAAACTAATACCAATTTTAACTAACTAATTTGCTTAGAAGTACTTCTCGCCAAGAAATATGTAGTAATTAACCTATTTTATGTCCTTTTCATGATAAGAAACCTTGTAAAACCCGGGGAAAAAAATTTATTATTATTATTATTAAAAATCTTAATTAAAAGGGTAAAATAATAATTAATTATAAATATAAGGGTCAAAAACATAAATTTTTAAACTATATATATATATATAAGTGTGGAAGACTTTAGTCTTCCATTTTTTCTTCCTCCAGCCGGCTGTCGAGTGAGTGCGAGAGAGAAAAGAGTTTTTTTTTCTTTATTTTCCTTCTTTCTTCTTCTTAAGATCTACGAAGATTGGACAGTTTAATCGTTTTGGGCCAATAATTAAAGTTGTTCTACTCAGCAAGATCTACGTAACCACACCAAATATCGTATTTTTTTTCGAAAGAATATCAAAGATGATAATCTAGGCCTAAAATTTGGGAAGTTAAATTGGACTTCCTCGAAGTTCCAATACGTGGGTTCATGCTACGAGAAGTACGGTTTCCTCTATTTAGATTTACTTTCAACCTAAAATATGACATATGAAATGAGTAGGCTATGGGTGTATATCACATGTTAAGTCTTGACTAGTGTAACTAGTGGGTCAAATACATGATTTATAATTAACTTTGTAATTAGAAAAATCATATTATGATTAACTTGGTGTAAATTAATGTTAGTGGTTTAAAACATGTTAATTGTACATTAGCATTATTTTATGTTTTAAATGACATATCAAGTTTAATGATATTATTAGCTTGTTATGGGATTATGGAATAATATGTATGTTAAAAGATTATTTAGTATATAATTATTGTTGTGGACTTGTGCTTATGTTTATAGAATTGATAAACATGTTGCCATGTTGAAAATGTTATTATATTGCATTCTTTATGTAATGAACATTGTAAATGGTACCAAAGGTAATTGCACATTGAAATGTCATTATGCATGAGTTACATTACATTCATGGGTGGGAGTGTGTGCATGAGATGAAATCAATCACCACCTAGGTGGTTGATTGTGGGCTTGGAAAAGTCGCACCAAGGTCCGGCTGAGTCACACGAAAAATTAAATGGATAAACGTGTCGGGGATAGCAAGAAGGGCTAAATTCTCCCTCGGGTGCAAGACCCACTTACTTGGTTTATACACTTTTCGACGGTGAAATTTCAGAGAAGTGTAACAGCCAAAACTGAGCCGCATGTGGGATGTCCTGAGAATCCGTTGATGGTTGGTGTCCCATTGATGTAATACCATAAATCATCTCCCCACAAAGACACAAGAAAATAAATTAATTAGTCATTGAGTGTACATAACACTAATGACAGGGCTTGGAATGCCCGAATACATACGCATGACATTGCATGTATTGTAGGAGCTCAGGATGAGGCTCGGTGTTGGTATTGTGTTCGTGAGTCTCATCTCATGGCATGATATGATTTATGACATTTGTTCATAATAGACATATTTGAATGATTGCATGAAATGATTGTTATATGTGACATTTCATATGCATTTAGGTTGAGAGGTATTCTCTATAGGAGTTACACTATTGAGCGTTGACTCACCCTTTATGGGAACATTTTTTGGGTATTGCACAAGCGTCCACCGAAGGTGAGGCCATGGGCCCGCTTTGATGACAGAGCCGGTCTATGGCTCTTCTTTTGACATTGTAGTCCCTTGTTTATAATTACTTTTAGCCTTGTGTAAATTTTGTAACAAAAACTTGTTTATATTTAAAAGGCATGTATAAGGGACTCTTTTGAGACATTTATTCTTTTATGAATGAATGCACGTAATGATGATGATTATGGTAGTATTCGATACTATACAATTGTGAATGGATGGATAGATCCGGTTTGGTCAATATTGTACAGGTTGCGTTTTGGTAGAGCTCCTCGTACAAATGAGACTCTGCCTAAATTTTGTTAAGTTATGGATCTCGGTAAATGAGACATAACGATGTGGTATCAAATTACATGGTATTCATGGGTATTCCACGGGTTAATAGGTGATCAATCGGATAATTACAGAGACAAGGATTTTGGGGTGTCACAACTTGGTATGAGAGCCTAGGTTCTTGATTTACCTACGGTTTGCAAGGCACGGGTCTAGGCCATTGCATCTATTTTGTATTGCATGTTAAATGTATTAAATGTCACATGCTATGTGTTATGAGATTATATGCATGATTAAATGTATATAGGAATAAGACACTACGATTAGAAAACATAACTTTAGAGTCGAGAAAGGAAAGGATGTGTAAGCCTACTGTTTGAGTATCTGCCGGTAGGTATATATTCTACTATTTAATTTTAATCCATAACTTTGGGATACTAAGTTGTTGGTCTATTGCTATCTTATGTGTGTGCAGATGGCAACTAGAGGAAGGGGACGTCGAGGTGGACGGAACAACTAACCACCACCACCGACTTTTGATCAACAAGCCTTTATGGAGGCTATGGGTACGATGGCTGCCACCTTTTTGCAAGTCAGTGTCAATGTGGGCCAAGGAGGCTCGAATAACCTCCAGAAGTTTAAGTCCCATAACCCACCAACTTTTGTAGGAGGAGGGGATCTGATGGTAGCTGACCATTGGTTCCAACAGGTGGACAAAATTTTAGAGGCAATGGAGATTGCATCTGATGTCACTAAGATACGGTTGGGCACTTTTTCAGTTTGAGGGAGAAGCCCATCAATGATGGACATAGGCAAAGCCGATAGACATCGGGAGGATGACATGGGGAGAGTTTCAAGAGCTATTCATGAAGAAGTATTTCCCACCAGCTGTTCGGGAAGTCAAAGCCCAGGAATTTCTAAACTTGAAGCAAGGAACAATGACGATTATGCAATACGTGGCCAAGTTCACAAAATTAACACGTTTTGCGGATGACTACATGGCCACGGATTTGGCCAAGGTGCGAAGGTTTGAGAATGGCCTAAAACTATCCATCCGTGGGAAGATTGTTGGCCACAGGTTGCACAACTTGGACGAGATGGTCAAGACAGCCATGACTATAGAGAAAGAGGTGGAAGACACCAAGAGTATTCGAGAGGCCGGATCAAAGGACAGGAAGAAGGAGGGACAGTCCTCCACTACTAGCTCGGGGAAGAGATAGAGGATTTCTACCCCACAGGGACAGGGCCGAGGCTATCAGGGCCAAGGCCAAGGCCAAGGCCATGGTCAATCTTCCCAAGGCGGGAGGAATTCTAGGGCCACACAACAAGGAGGCCCACGGACATGTTACTATTGCCACCAGCCAGGCCACTTGAAGAGAAAGTGTCCTCAGAGGTAGGGATCTCAGAACTACGGGGCATCTCAGTCCCAGTCATCAATGGGGTATCCACAAACCTACTTCATTCCTCCCTATCCCACCAAGGGCCAAGGAAATCAGTTCCAGTTTTAGGGTGCAGTACAGGCCCCTACCACTTTACGAGCGGGGACTCCGCAGTCAGGCCAGATGGGACAAGGCTTTTAGGCCGGGACTTCAAGGACTTAGGGGCGAGTCTTTGCCATCACACCTCAGACTTTACTGGTAGATCAGTCGGTAATTCAAAGTACATTTCCTCTCTCTAGATTATGGACTAGAGTATTATTTGATTCTGGTGCATTACATTCTTTTATTGCTGCATCATGCCTATGAGACTTGGGCTTAGAGGCCGAGACTCTGGAGCATCTTATGTATGTGAGTTCACCCCTAGGAGACAGAGTTTGCATTGACAAGAAATGTCGGGGTTGTGAGTTGGAGATCGAAGGAACCCATATTACCGTTGATCTTAGGGTCATTGAGATGACGGAGTTCGATGTCATACTCGGGATGGATTGGTTGGTGGCACATAAGGTCGTCATTGATTGCGAGCGCAAGAGGATTACGACTTACACTTCAAACGGGATTTGTTTCAAGTTTTAGGGGGAGAAGCACAATATTTTATCTCATGCCGTATATGACTCTCGATGGCACGGACAGTTGATAGGTTGGCTTGCTAGCCTTACACTGGAGGATGAGGTAAGACATGAGTTGGGTCTGCCTTGAGTCGTGTGTAACTATGCGGATGTCTTTTCAGATGAGTTACCGGGATTGTCACCGCATCGGGATGTAGA